GTGCGCTGCGCAATGAGCACGCTTCACTTTGAAACAAGCAGCGCAAACAGACTGGATAAGTCATATTATGCTTTCGGTTTTAATTCGTTTGACCGATACTTGCTAAAGCAATGGCGTGAAACACAACGTTAAAGAACTTTTATGTTATAAGTATAAATATATCTTCGCTTTATTATGAAACTGTGGCAGGCCGCTAGTCTAGTTAATGAATGGGAAACACTGAACTACGTATTCTCACAATATGGGTAATAAATGCCTGATGTATAATTTGTATTTATTTATTGTGGGTGTGTAAAGGTGGACTCAATCAATCAATAAATACATTTCTGACCACTATTTCATGTGTCAGGCTGTACAGAGTTAACTCTGCTGTTCTCACCTGTGTAATGAGAGCGACTGCAATATTACACAACAGTTACAGTACATTCCTGGCAATGAACAGTCATTCGCTGGCAGATTGTTGGCTTATATCCTTTATCAAGAATTTTCCAAAAAGGTAGAGCTGTGTAATCGTGAAAGGGCTGTGAATGTATTCTGATTTCAGTGTTTTGGCATGAAACATTCAAAGTAGGGGTTGACTCTGCCGCTGGGGTCATTTGAATCAATTAGGACTGTGTGGTAATTGGTGGCCGGCTAGTATTAGGCATTTCTGTGGGATGTGATTTGATTTAGGCTTTGCTGTAGGCTGCTCAAAAGGCAAGCTGAAATCCGAAATGTTGTTTGTTTTAATCTCCCACTTTGCTTATGAACAACATGGTTTGGAGCATTCTGGGCCCTCTTGTTTGGAAGACATCCAGAATTTAAATAAATGCATACTAATATCATCCTTAGAAAGTCTCACCACTCCAACGTGGGCTTTGGTAATAAAAATAATATCAGAAATAATCAGCTGTTTATGAGATGACAACATAATCACTAGTGCAGGGGGCCGAACAATGATATAAATCCTTGAACGATTGCTCCTCTTAAACCACAACTAGCTGTTTTATGACATTTCTTTCGGCTGAACAAAAGCTAGTGTAGTGGCCTGTAGTGTTCATTGTTAATGAACCAAGCTATTATTTGTGTACTATGAAAGCACTATGGAAAATTAATGGATCTTGCAGGGTAATTCATGGTTTTTGCTAAGGCAAGCATGCTGCTGCTTCTCATGCTCATGCTGATGTAAACAGCTGAAAAAATTAGGTGTGAACTAATATTATGTTTCAATTATTATACTGATTACTTTTGTTTAGGTGTATAGTTGATTTGCTGATGAACTGATTTTAAATATGTTTATATATATATATATATATATTAGTGCTGTGTCCGATACATCGATACGACGATGTATCGTCACAGAGATCTGACGATACAAGTATCGATACAGCTGGCACTGTATCGATATCGTGGCATGTGCGCTGCAGTGGACCGCGCTTAATTTGAATACAAGAACACATTAAAGGGGAAGTCGTGGCCTAATGGTTAGAGAGTCGGACTCGTAACCCAAAGGTTGCTGGTTCGAGATTAACCAGTGGGAAAATTTAATCACCGTCACAACCAAGTCAAACAAGTCAAAGCAATTATAAATTTGACACTTGGGAAAAAAGCCATATCTAGAATGTAGGGCTGGACCAGAATATTCGAATATTCATTCGGTGGGTTGGCATTCGATATTCGATAAAAACATGCACTTAATTTGCTTGGAAAATACTTGTGAATACA